TAATTGTAATGTACAAATTAATCGATATGCAACAATGTTCGTACGCGAGTGCGCAGGACATGTCGCAAAGCTGCTGCCAATCAGTGCGCGGCGTTGCGTGCGCGCTGTAACGTGGCCGCTCCGATCACCTGTGACGGAACCATTACTGCTCTGGAATTAGTAGTACACTATAGTTCTTGTAGGTGGACGCCCTTCGCTATCTTTTCCGGTACGAGGCCTCTACTCCAGAACCTTGCTGCTCCATCGGCCGTCAGTTCTTCTGTTTAATTGCATTCATTGTCATTGCGACGCTGTTATCTCCTTGCTGGAAGATCAGTCAACGATGGGTTTAATTCCATTATCATAGACCCTCTTTGCCCATTTCTCAAAGACCTTCACTCCCTTCACCCTTGGCCGGTACCCACTTAAAGTAAGACTTTACAAGCCGCCTGAAACATAATAATTATGTATCATATTTCTCAGTGTATATTCAGGCGTGCAATGGCCCAGTTACTAAGGTAACCGAACTGGGAACCAACAGTTGAAACGTATTAAAAGCCGTTGCGACTATCAAAAATGTAGGACTTACAGACATGGGATGGAACTAAGTAACTGGCGTAAATAGATAATGAACGGCTGCAAGAAAATGAAATAGTCCCCGCCGGGCGACTCAATTGATTGATTGGCTACGGGCGACACGCGGCCCTGTATCGCAGTGACTTCAAGGTATTCCTAAACACCATCTGCCGACACAAGTTTTATCAGTACAAAAATGTTAGGGTTGGAATGATAGGAAATGAAATCGTCCATGAAACGCGAAGACAGCCCGGTAATGGTCAGTCATTATCAGCAATTACAACCATCAGCATGAGAAATGATAGCGTATTGATGCGTAATTGGGTGCGATTACATCGTGGCAAAGAAACGTACAGCACCTGGAGTCATTAAATGGTGTAATGGAGCGGAGTGGATGCAATTAAATGCAGCGAGTATTGCGTGGCACGCGTGTGATTGCGGCGCGAGCGATGCCCCAGTTGTGTGCTTCAGGCTGCTTCAGGTTACGCGGCGTGTTGCGAATATTGTGTTACGCAAAGGAGCGCCTTGTCCTCCTGTCGGGCTACAAACTTTAAACATTGTTATTCCACTTTTTGATAGGAGTTAGTCGCGCAGCGCCTTCCCTAAACCGTCTAGACAATTGCCCTATAATTACTCAATCAAAATGACGAAGCCGTCGTTCCCCTTTTTATTGTAGGTGATTGCTTTTGCTTTTCTTTGTTTTGTATTGCTCTTTTTCACACTAACATTAATTTTTCAGGATAAAATTGTAAGATTTCAGAAAAAAGACTTCAAAATTTCATAGAGAGATACTGCTGTCTATGAAGATAAATGATACCTGCGTATGATGGAGTGAATTATCAACCAGTGTGTGCAACAATTTTAATACTACACACGATACTAAACGAATCCATTATAAGAAGATAATTTTTGAAGCATTGGATCCCAAAATATGTACAAAGCAGTACTATTTGACATTCTCTAAGAGAAAATCAATGATTAATACACAACAGAAAAGATAAAACAGCAAATGAGATAAACGACACATCGAAATTCACATTAGGACAAAAAAATAGTTTAAAAAATTGCCTGAAGCAAAAACGGTTCTCTCGAATGGTTTTAAAATGTGAAATCGGAAGCAAATTCACGCATGATCAGTTTTCATGCGCGCATTCATGATTCAATTCAAATTCTTCAAAAATGCTGGTCTATGAAATTGTCTGTATTATTTTCTGTTCACCATGTTGAAATAGCGACTTATTTACTCAAACATCAATATAAAACGCAAAAACATGGATTTTCACCAATGAATTCTGAAAGCTTATTAAAACGTATGTAACGCGTATGTAACCAGCATACATACACGCAAAGCGAAAGTATGAATTGTGTGAATGGGTAATATTTAGCGGGTACAGAAACCGCCAGACATACCAGACATAATCAATACGAGAAGCTTAACCTCTTGCCCTTTGAGGCCCAGCGCCTGCATTACAAGAAGTTTAAGGATTATATGATTGAACCTGTTAATCTCGTCGGGGTAGTAGGAATATCTACAGTGGATTTGTGTACAGACGACGGCACGTCAACGTAACCACTGTGGGTTCTTGTGCAGTTGTATTATAGGCAAGTTTGCAACAAAAACGGGTAACCTGACGTGCTGTCGTGTGTACATTTATTATGCGGGCGACTGTACCCACTATCGACACGAGAAGAAATCTCAAGCACTTAACCAAATTAAAAGTTGAGTGCCACCTGTTGGGACTTGGGAGAGTTGGGAGGAGGTTGGTTCACTGAGCACAGGATCCTCGGCGGCGATAAGCGAGTTCTAGTTGTCATCATTAAATCGCCAAATCTGTGTCGCTTGCCTGCTCGACGACCCGGAAAATAATTGGGAAAAGACTGGAGCGAGATTTGTACCGAACTCAAAGAGATGGTCTCTTTGAGTTCGGTACAAATCTCGCTTTGTTTTGTTCTTATTTAACAAGACGATAATTAAACTTGACAACGTTGCAGATTTTGATATTTTGAAGTATGTAGGTACTAAAAGCGATCTGATTGTTAATTTGTATTTAAGAGTTAATAAATCATGTTTATTATGGAAATGGTGTTTTCATTTTCGTGAATTCTGTATTGATATTTTAAAAAATCCACTTCCCTCTTTGCTAAATTACCTGATACATTCATGAGTTTAAGCTCTCCGAAACCATAAAATCAGCGGTGCTAGTAGTACCAACAAATCCAACAAATTCTTCAAGCAAGCTTACCTCAGAGCACGGGATGTGAAGATATCTATATATACAACGTGTCCCAAAATTCAAGGATAAGCCGACGCCACAGGACGGACATAGTCATGACTACTTTAGGAAAAATAAGGAAAAAAATCTATCTCAATTATTTTTTTACTTACACAATAAATTATGAAATTCGACGAAAATTGACACCCCTTATGATATTTTACATTACCACGACCACAATTTTTCAAATATCATGAATATTTTCCTGTTTATATCGACAACTTAAGTAGTGCTGCTGTTCACCCCAACTCTTAAAACCCCCAGAATCCTTGCAGTTTTTACACAAAAGTTAATCAAAATATTTTATTTCCTTAAAATTTTGAACGATTTTTACTTTCACTCCACTTTGACTCATCGTTTTGTAAAAAAAAAGTATGAACACTACTGCGGCAAGTTTTTTATAAAGTTGACGCAACTATCCAAGATTCCAAAATGGTATAATACTCTAAGAAACCTAGTCGCAAAAAAGATATGCGTACCATTTTTACAAGCACTTCGCTTGTTAGTTAGTATGGGATAAATCTTGCAACTGAATTTAAAACCAGTTCTCCTCAACCGATTGAGCTGAAATTTGGTATACTTATGTAAGTACGATGAAAATGCAATATTATGGTACCATTGAGCTGAAACTGGAGGTGGCCACAGGAACTTCTAAACGAAACGGCGGAATTGCATCTAGTTTGGGTTCGTTGGATTTGTCTTTTCGAGCACTTTAGTGCTAGATGATGTCCAGGGTCCTGATGATGAAGTCAATTATAATTTTCAAACGAAGTCAAGCTTGTTTTTAAAAAAGTTTTTTTTTATTACAACTTTATTTTAAGCTTTTTAGTTGTTTCTCAATCTCATGGCCTAAGTGCTCGGGAAGACAAATCCAACGAACCCAAACTCGATAAGCTTCCGCCGTTTCGTTTAGGAGTTCCTATGGCCAGCTCCTGCCACCACTTGACTTCATCATCAGGACCCTGGACATCATCTAGCACTAAAGTGCTCGAAAAGACAAGTCCAACGAACCCAAACTAGATGCAATTCCGCCGTTTCGTTTAGAAGTTCCTATGGCCACCTCCAGTCTCCATTCAGCTCAATGGTACCATAATATTGCATTTTCATCGTACTTACATAAGTATACCAAATTTCAGCTCAATCGGTTGAGGAGAACTGGTTTTAAATTCAGTTGCAAGATTTAACCCATACTAACTAACAAGCGAAGTGCTTGTAAAAATGGTACGCATATCTTTTTTGCGACTAGGTTTCTTAGAGTATTATACCATTTTGGAATCTTGGATAGTTGCGTCAACTTTATAAAAAACTTGCCGCAGTAGTGTTCATACTTTTTTTTACAAAACGATGAGTCAAAGTGGAGTGAAAGTAAAAATCGTTCAAAATTTTAAGGAAATAACATATTTTGATTAACTTTTGTGTAAAAACTGCAAGGATTCTGGGGGTTTTGAGAGTTGGGGTGGACAGCAGCACTACTTAAGTTGCCGATACAAACAAAAAAACAGAAATATTTGAAAAATGGTAGTCGTGGTAATGTAAAATATCATAAGGGGTGTCAATTTTCGTAGATTTCGTAATTTATTGTGTAACTTAAAAAATAATTGAGATATATTTTTTTCCTTATTTTTCCTAAAGTAGTCATGACTATGTCCATCCTGCGGCGCCGGCTTATCCTTGAATTTTGGGACACGTTGTATAAAAGAAAGTCGTGTTAGTTACTCCACTTATGTATAACTCAAGAACGGCTGAACCGATTTAGCTGAAAATTGTCAGGGAGGTAGTTTAGAGCCAGGAGAAGGACATAGGATACTTTTTATCCCTTTCGAAATAAAAAAAAGTCTGCTTATTTATTGCCATTAAGGCGGAACAAAGTTCGCTGGGTCAGCTAGTTTTTATCATATTCGTTTGACTTTTCTCCCGCATGTGTATCATGAATGTGGTCAGTCAGCTTAATACCAAGCTGCACTATGTCGCTGTAATCTAAATTATACTAATTCTCCAATTCACGCTCATTATCCCAATAGACACACCTATATTCTAAATATATTTGGAATATCGGTAAACCCCAAGGGGCGTTGGCAATAATTTGGATATATTATATTGATAAAATAATAACACCGCCATTGTTTATTCATGGTAATTTTACCAATCCTAACATTTTGTTTGAACTTGCAGAATATCATGGTCAAGGAATGGACGCGGGCGGGAACAATTTTGACTCCGGTAAGTTTATTTTATTTTATTTCTATCTAGTAGGTACCTACTATACATTAAAAGTATACTCGTATTCATATTGCATTAATGATTAAATAAAAGAAATTCTTAGCCTAGGTAGACCACTGACTTTTAGTTAGCCGATAGTTGGGCCCGATTCTAATTTGTACGAAGAATCGGCCGCTACCAAATCATACATCACATACATTATGTTCATACTGATCAACAGCCCGGACCAACTACCGGCTGAAGAAAAGCCTGTGGTCTGCGGCTAGGCTAAAACTGAACATCGCGTTGCACGCAAATAAATAAGGTCCTAATAATGTGAATCCTATCCTGTTCGATGACTGTTTTGACTCACGTGTCCTGTCCTATCCAGGTCACAGACTCACAGTCACAGCCTGGAATATTTGTCAAAATTTCAATCATCTTGTTAAATACTTACAGTAACTTTGTGCATGCGACTCTAGGGCTTTCACCAGTGGTCATAGAGTCGGTCAGCTATACACTGTCTGTATACGCACGGAATTAATTTAACTCCTTATTTGCTTGCCGCTACGGCATACGGCATGCGCCGCGTGAAATGCGTCCTGTAACTGCGCAGCCTAAGCGCTGATCCACCGCGAGCGAAGCTGCGAATTTTCTTCAACTCTATCCCAGCTGACCACTGTGCGTTCTAGTTAAACTCGTATGGAGACTTAAAAGATCCTGTAAGATGCATGATCTTAGGTAGGATACGATTCCGGAAAAAATGGGAAAATAATTAGTCAAGACAGACTTTTACGCGGGATGATTTTTCCGTTTTGTCCAGTCACAGAGAAGAAAAAGCTACAATTCCACAACCTAACTGGTGTGATCAGCTGCAAGTCTCTTCTATGATTGTGTAGACGTACAAAATTGCAAACAAGATTAGAGCTTATTAAAAGACGGTTAATAGTAGTGAGTTGAGTAAGAATAAATCCTAGCATAGCTTCGCTCGTTCTGGGTCTTGTGCTTTATGGTTTATACAAAATTGTGTTAAACGAATTCTGAATTATGTTCTTTATTTCTGCCGCCATCCAGGCGGGAGGTAGACTTGAATTTAAATTCGCATTACAATGTGTCGTGACGCACACGCTCACGTGTGTGAATCTAAAAGTTTTATTTGACGAATAAAAACATTACAATGTGGAAGAAACCCGTGGAAGGAGATAGCTAAGCTAATGAAATGACATATGAGTAAAAATATCAACCTTCTGCCGCTTACTGAAAGCGGCAAACATAATAAAGCGTTGTTCTATACCTAGACTAGTGACAATGATAAGTCCAGACCATTGCCTGCATGTGGTGTATCGAATTACCTTCAGTCTATCAACAGGGGGTGGCGTATTTCCCAGAGTAAACAAGTCCTCCCACCCTGCGGTGTAAGCGGGAATGTAAATTTATCTTACATGTATTAAAGCAGTAGAATAATATGTGATTATGTAAATCCACTTGGAAAAGAGCGTCGAGTATTATTTAGGGATCTCACAAAATTCTCGCCTTAGATACATAATATTTCTTTAACGATTAGATTTACTCAAGGCGTGCAATGTCCTCAGTTCCTCACCAATGGCAAAGATTTTCCAATTTATCTGTCTTCTTCTGATTGAGAGAGTGCACCATTGAATCACAGAGTGTTTGGTTCCTGTATAGTAGGGATACATGAACATCGCAGCCGGTATTCCAGAACTAAATCCTAAGTTCAATACTGATCGGGATTTCTAAGATTTCTTTATTCATGACTAGCTTTCCGCCCGCGGCTTCGCCCGCGTGGAATTTTGTCTGTCACAGAAAAACTTTATCGCGCGCGTCCCTGTTTCAAAAACCGGGATAAAAACTATCCTATGTTCTTTCCCGGGACTCAAACTATCTCTATGCCAAATTTCATCAAAATCGGTTGCGAGGTTTAAGCGGGAAAGCGTAACAGACAGACAGACAGACAGAGTTACTTTCGCATTTATAATATTAGTTGGGATTAGTTGGGATAAGCAACTCATTAAAGTACTAAAGCTGCCAGCTTACCTATGACTATTTGAAGTTAGCTTTGCATAATTGAAGTCTTTTTCAAAATACTGTACATTTGGCTTCTGTTTTGTTTTGTTGCACTGCTTTTGACCTCGATTACCGCTTGAAATTGGCCCGCCAAACTTCTACAAGCAGGCTCCATCTTTTAATTTTCATTATAACTTGACATAGATCTAAAATGCACGCAGCCCTTCAGTGCTATTCGGTTGGATTGGTATCGATCTCGCTAATCAGCGGCCGATATGTGAGGCCTTGGTCGCTGCACCGGCGCGAGGTTGTTTTACTTAGTTTGCGTACGTGCGCCCTGCAATAGGCGCTGCGACTTCGTGTCGTCTCCCTCACACCTACCGCATCACGCGCCGAGCGAGGGAAACGGATACAGGTGATTAAGTCGAAATCGCAGTAGGCCCTGAGGATAGGTTACTGTTGAAATCTGTGCAGAAATCAAACCTGTGATAATGTTCAAAATTATGGATGCATATATCAAGATAAGGAACTGCTGAGCTGATCAGTATCTTAGTATTTAAGGCATTGAAAATGAAATGTCAAAACTCTTTCTATGAGTTTAGTGAGTGAATCCCCGAGAAATGAATATTGTATGTGTGTGTATATTGTCTGATGTCCAAGAGAGCAAAGCCGCTGGCAAATGCTAGTATTGGTATAACTACTGCAAAGATACACCTCTTCACCACTTTCATTGAGCGTTATTTTGAATTAGGTAGACCAGGTACTGAAAACTTCAGTAAAATAAAGCCTAATTATTTTTTCTAACTAAGCATCTTGTTTTAAAATCATTTTATGAAAACGTGTTAGTTTCTAAAATTAGATTAATCTTAATTAATTGTTGTATAATATTTATGAACGAGCTCATTCACTTTGTGTTTGTAATTTCAGTGCGTTATTTATTAATAGCTATCTGTTACCTCAGATTCTAATTTTTATTAAACCAGTAAAACCATGTCGGAAAATTTATTGCAACTATAGATTGTTTATAACCGACTGTTGCAGGCGCCTTCGCGGTCTAATGGTCAGAGTTAGTTTCCTCGCTCGGCTCGAATGCTCGGGGTTCGATTCCCAGGTGTGCCGACGAAGAGCATCTGCTTTGTTCTCCCTCTCTCTACTAGCACCAGTTCATAGCGAGTAAATGATAGATAGACCAATTGTTTTCCAATTTGAATCTATCATTCATAGGAAAATAATTGGTTTTCACTAGAAAGTCAACATCTGAAGATCTTCCAGTTGAAATGGGTTTAGGGATATTGTTTGTTTTGATAATAGCTATTAACTTACCCAAAGATAGGTTACAATGTAAACAATAAATAGGTATTCGTATTACCCTGACTATTCGGGGCAAACTTGACCTTCACTGATTGGGTTTTTATCGGCGGTCAAGTAGATCCTGGCTACACAGGAGTTGCAGCGCTGGAAACGAGAGGTGGGAATAGTCCCGTGACTATTCGGGGCGAATTTTGGTTCACCATTCGAGTATTGAATCGTGTTTGAGTCGATGCCTCGCGGCAGTTGCAGTGATTCAATTCCCGTGCTGCCTAGCAACACTAGCACGGCTCGCGCCTGCGAGCTCCGATGCATAATGCACTTTGCAGCCGGGGAAAATGCTTTCTGACACACCCTGTATTTTTCATGAGAGGAAAAATGAATGCGCAACGTTTAGTGTATAGGTACCTACTTATAATATGAAAAGGGTTAATTTATGTGAAATCAAACTTCAGATCGAATTAGCGAAATAGTGGATTTGATCAGCAAACTTAGATTTCTCAATCCACCTGGAACTCGAACCCAGGATTTCCTGACTAGTGATTCTAAGCTGTCTGAGCCCTAGACGGAGGTGTTATGTATGCGACTACAGAAGCGATATTATGGACTAGGATACTCAGGCTAATAGGGAAGCGCCGCCAGCCGTAATACAATCGCGTGGAAATGCAAATTAATCCGCCGTAATGAGTTAATAAGTAACATAATTAATGATATGCCGGACGCTCGATTCATAATACATTGCAAATTGGAAACTAGCGCAATCGGTGAGACCGGTTAATTTAACTTTGGTTTAGTGGCCATTGGTTTAGTTAGTGCAGGTCAGTAGTCATGTCGGTGGGCTGGTCCAGCTGATATTTCGCTTGCACTATCTACAGCTCCAGTTTTTATTCGAATCGGTTTCATGGCAATGAGGATCAGTACTGTTGTAGAAAATTCAATAAAACTAGTGTCTACGTTAATCTTTAAGACATAAAAAAGATATATCTTTTTGAATTATCCAAATCGGACCATTACTTACGAAGATATTAAGTAGTAAACATAGGCCGTTTTTGCCGCTAAAAGTCAACGTACGCAGGGCCGCGTGACGTCATTATATCCGAATCGAGCGCAGCCGGCGTACTATTGGGATGGAAAATATTTTTTTCCAGCTAAACTATCAGTTTTAGAAAAAAACTTTTAATAACATTTATTCATCAAAATATAGTAACCTATCGACCAGTAATTTTTAAAAATAAAAATTGTGAAAAATAAGTATCGCTATGTCCAAAAACCACATTTTCATAGGATTAGATGCAATGCGGAGACGCGGTTGGGGTGAGTGTAACTTAATGATTGTTTGTATTGAACATAATAATACATAATAATATGATGCTAATAACCAGTTTCTGGCCTTACCCAGTTTCGGGCCGAGGGGGAAGTCATGCCCAGCTTATGACCTGGGGAGAGGAGAAGGGCGGGCCCAGCTTCTAGGCTAAGATTAAATAGATTTCCAGGAGGGAGCAGCTGTCCTTTCCTGCAGCAGCTGGCCCGCCCATGGGAACGGCGAATAGATAGGTAGGTACGTAGGTTTAACTCAGAAAAACTAAATAACAGGTAGGTATTGCGTGTACATCGATGAATGATCTTCATAGCAATGTCTTGTAGCCTAGGCAGAGTGTATCTGCCTCAGCTATACCTTATTGTTAGAAGTAAATAAATTAATACTTATACATTTTTATATTTTACTTGGAAGAAGATATGACTCTAACAACACTTATGAACACTTTATTTGAATAAATCGCCAAATATACCACCCCAATCGCGTCTCTGCGTTCCATTGAATCGTATGAGCGTATGGATTTTTTGCGTTATTTTTCACAATTTCTATTTTTAAAAATTACCTATCGATAGCTTACTTTATTCTGATGAATAAATGTCATTACAAGTTTTTCTCTAAAACTGATAGTTTGGCTAGAAAAAAATATTTTCTATCCACGCAGTACGCCGGCAGCGTTCGGATCGGATATAGTGACGTCATCGTCCCCGCGCCGGGCGGTCAGTGAGCTTTTTTAGTAATTTGGCCATAACTTCGTCAATTTTTGTCGTAGAACAAAAATTTTTGGACTGTGTGTTAAGGATTTCTTAGCCCTATAAATCTGCATTCACAGCTAAAAATCGAAATGATCCTCATTGAACCGTAGATAACTAATTCATCCGGTACATTATAACTATAAATCTGTCTGTAACAATGAGAATCACCGTATCGTATCGACTTAGGTATCGGACTTACTAAAATGTAATTTTCACTGGCAGAGTACTGCACATGCAGAAGATAATAGTTACTGTAGTATCAAAACAGGTTCCGATGATAATAAAATAATTACAGGACCTGTATTTTAGACAGTTCCCTTTTTATTTAGGTTCTAATAATAATAAGCGATATCACACCAGTTGACAAACTTGTACCATGGGAACATCTCGGAATGGGTTGATTTATAGTAATAATTATAAAATTAATATAATTATTATATCATTCATTGTAATTTTGTAGTCATTGATTCAATCCTCACCTGACCTGAAACAGTCAATATTTTTTCAAGTTACTTGTTTTCCTCATATTCAGACTTTGAAATATGTAGGTGAACTGACTGTCACTTTACAAGTTTTACACAGTTTCAGTACCTTACCGAAGTAAGTACTAACACAGAATATTAATAAGTACTACTTACATAAAAAATATGGTAAGTTATGTTCTTACAAATGAGAGGTTCACGTTCGAATTACATTTACGTACACATTTTAGGCAACGTTCGTGGTCGTGCCACACTAATCGCTCAAAATGCTGAAAATCGTGAATATTCGCAATGAAATTCATGTGTGAAAATGTTTCGTACACCATGTGATAATAAGTAACCGGTGAAATTAAAAATTGCCTCACACAACGTACAACCAAACTGTGGAATGGACTGTCGTCTGCGGTGTTTCCGGACGGATACGACCTGCAAGCTTTCAAGAGGAGAGCGTATCTTTACCTTAAAGGCCGGCAACGCACCTGTAACGCCCCTGGGTCTGCGGGTGTCTATGGGCGACGGTAATCACTTACCATCAGGTGATCCGTTTGCTCGTTTGCCTCCTATCACATAAAAAAAAAAAAAAAAAAAAAACACCACCTCCATAAAACAATAGGCTGAATTTAACTTCTTGTTTTAAAGTGCTACTTTTGTGAATATACATTATTTTTTGTCGGCCGTTTGGTGTAGTGGTTCAGAACGGACTACTATGCCGAGAGGTCCCGGGTTCGATTCCCGGCCGGGCAGAAATTGAAATGATGAATTTTAATTTCTGTGACGGGTCTGGGTGTTACTATGTATAATATGTATGTATTTAAAAAAAAAAGTATATAAGTAGTATATCCGTTAAGCTAGCACCCATAACACAAGCATATTAATTGCTTACTTTGGGGCTAGATGGCGCTGTGTGAGATTGTCCAAAGATATTTATTATTATATTTATTATTTTTACACTCCATGTTGTTTTAAATCGTTTGCTTTTGGCATACAAAATGTTGCTCAACATTCACCCAGCAAGGGTTAGCGGGGGGCAAATTGTTACCGACGTGGCATGAGTGTGATTTGGTTTAGGTGAATATTTCGACTTTCTTCAAAATCAAATTATTGCAAATACTGTTTGTAGAGCTTATTTTGTGGCAAAATTAATAGTCAGAACCCTCCCTTGTTTAATTTCATGTTCGAGTGTCAGACATGTCACTTTCATTTCACATTAGGACTGCTAAAGTACCAAATTATTACGAATTATCTGATTTTGAATTAGTTAAGTAACTTTGTATGGAGAGCTTTTTACTTTATGAAAACGAATTTCATCCTTTTGGATAATAAATGAATAGGTAACTATAATATTTTAGCGTAATTCTGAACTTGACAAGACCAGAATAGACGCAGACAAATCTGTAGGTAGAAAGAAGTTTAACATAATCAGTGTTTTAAACATGAGTAACATCCCTTTGTTTGCGTTGACGGTAAATAAAACACGGAAAGTATGTGTTTGAAAAACATTGAATTAAACAAAAACAATATGAGTATTATTGTGTAATGTTTTTGGCACTCTTTGTGAGGGCGTCCGCGGAAGACCAGCTTCGTGACATGCCCTTTCGAGCATAAATGCTGAGCCTGTTGGCACAGTTCTTACCCTACCTTTTTTGTCATGTACCTACCTTCCTAAATGTTTTGTGTCATTAAACTATTTCTATCTAACTTAACACTGGCACGCTTATGTGGTGGATGGTAGTTCCCATGTAGTGGTCCGCCGGGGCCCTAGGCAACAAAGGCCCCATTGTCGCGTATTGATTCCCGGCGTGATTCCTGGAAGCTGCCTGGAGACGGCGCGAGGCGTCGCCGAGCCGACGGGATGCCAGCCGCTCACGCAGAAATAATACTATCGAAGGACACCTTTCGGTTATAGAAACGAAGCCCACCTGGCCAATATTGTGTCGCGGAACTTTGTGCCGAGTGGATGTTTATTATTCCCTCAAAACGACTGATGATAAAACTTAGTGACTTTTCAGTTCAGTTCATCAGTACATCTTATAAATGAAGCGTTTACATACCGGTAACTTTTTCTGCAAAGTATTTTTGTCCAAGGCTTGTAAAACCAACGTTGTAGGTATTTGACAAATGGCAGAAAATCCCTGATAATAGGCCATCGAGGGTTGTATAAGGAAAAATATTTAAATCTCTTTATTTGTGAAAAAAAAAACAATGAAACACCAATTTACGATGTTTCCACTTACTATCAAATGACTTCGTTTTGATGAAAGTGACAATATTGTGTTTAACCGGAAGTTGTTGTTTTTGAACTTCGTGTTTTTAATTTTTATACTTTTGCAGCTACGTCGAATTATTTTACATTAGGAAAAAATTTCCTAAATGTAAAATAATTCGACTAAGTAATATGTTTTTAACAACTTATACTTTTTCACATTTAAAAGTGCTGAGAGAAAGCAGCGCAAAAAAAAATCCACTGAATGTAATTCTAAGGCCAATTAGTAATATTTACATAAATCTTCTGTCCTTGTGTAATACATTAGATGTATAATGTATGTGTACTCGTAATAAATAAAAAATCTCAAGGACTATCTACAACATTTTATGAGACACGGGTAGATACATGATATTCTTATATTCGTTTGATTGAGTCTACTTTGGTCTGGACAAGGTCAAGGTTTCCACGACTTTTGTAAGAAATTCAGCTTCAAACATCCTTCTCTGTTATTACATGCCATGAAACTTAAACACATAGGTACATATTTTATTTGAGACTGTACGAGAGATAAATATTGAGGTAGCCATTTTTTACAGTAAAGAAAATATGTTGCGAGGCGCCTGGTATAGTAATTTTGAATTTCAGTGTTGATTTAAGTCCATTTTATTATCCAATCGCTCTCGGAGGTGTAGATGCGATCTGCTAAGTAGTCGACATCTCGGTTCCAGTTGTGACCCCGATAAATCTAAATCCAAAGGGAGATAAAAAGTTTCAAACAATTTGAATGGTCATTTTTAACCGTCCTTGAGTTTAACTCATATCTGAAAAAAATGTTAGATGCGCCCTTTCAACTATCGGGGGCAGAGTTCCAACCGATAGTTTTGACGCAGAACGTCATTTCGCAAAACATAAAATCAAGTGCACTTTCACAAAATGTTACGTTTGTTTTTGAGAAAGTGACCATATTTTTCACAATGATATTTTGCGAATATGACGTTCTACGTCCAAATCTAGCCGTTAAGTTGTCCTGAAGGTGACTGAGTTGAGTTTCTAGCGCTACTTCAGTTCTGGCTCATTTATTGTCCCGAAGCTGTGGTAGGGTGAAAGTAAAATCGGACATGTAAACGCGCTTATTAAAAGCCTATGTGATGGAGAGGCAAGCTGTGTAATGTGTATTATAAATGCCCTATAATAAAGAACTGGAATTTGTTGGTCCGCAGGTCAACAGCAGCAGGAGCAGGAGCTGGCGACCAAGATGCTGCAGATCCAGTCCAAGCGCTTCTACCTGGACGTGAAGCAGAACCGCCGGGGGCGCTTCATCAAGGTTGCAGAGGTCAGTGCTCACATACAGGGTCTCCCAAAATCAGCACGTCACACTGACACCGAAAGTAGACGCCTAAGACGTGACGCATCGAATAATTTACAGCCCTGTCGAGTTAACTGCGCACCTCGCTAGAATGCGACTCCTGGTCCCCTCCCCGCGGCCGCCAGGTGTGCGGGTTGTAATCACTAAAATTGGTTTTATTTCAAAACTCATGAAACTTTTCTATGGACATAATAGGCTTGTTCGATGCGTCTTAGACCTCCGGTGTCAGTCAGTGTGATGTGATAATTTTGTGACACCCTGTATAAACTGCTAACTATACAATTACCATACTTTGTATTGTTATAACGATGTTGTGGAAGATCATACTGCAGCATGGACACGGACAGTTAGACAATTTTTTCTTGAAATGATATGGAATATTAAGCAACTTAAAAAGTATGAAAAATAATACTTAACATCACTTAACATCAGGTGCGATTGTGGTCAAATACCTGCCTTGTTATGCATAAAAAAAATCCGTTTGAAGTCAATATTATTTGATTTAACTGTACATTTAATCATGTGCACGGAACCCTACGCACGCGACTGTATCGTAACTCTCACTTGGCGGGTTTTTCGCTCATAAAACAGGCAACAAGCTTTATTAAACTCTGGTGTGCCGCAGACAAAGAGCAGACGCCCTATTATGTTTAGAGGTCGTCAGGCTTGCGTACCTATTACATCTTGTGCACCAACATTGTATTGATTCCACTACGAAGCACAAACTGCGCATCTTCACTGATTCACCGTTGGAGTACAATCAAATGTACGTCAAAACTAAAAGCTTCGAATACTAAGTTTATTAACTTAGTAAATAATAACTAGTAAATTATGAATAAAAGTAATTTATCAATTATTATAGCGGCATAGGTAATAAGAAAACGTTATATTTCTTATTTTAGTGCGTAATAAATAAATCATGTCGCGTCAGATTTATAGCAAACATGCTTTATAGGTAGATGATTCAAGATAGTCTAGTTGTACACTTTATTTTATTACCAAATCAGTGATCTATGGATGATAGATGGAAACCATAACATTGCAATGTGCAAATGTTTTTATATTTAATTATAATTAGATATCCCGAGACTGACTGCTTATGCATACACATTTATCTGGCTTAACGACTTAAGCAAATGTTAAAATACCTGTCTGTGAAACTCGGTTGCTCCCTGACACGAGGCCTCCCACGCCATTGTTATGCTTTACACACACTTAGCATATAATTTATTGATTGGAACATTATTATACCATCATCGAAGAGGTAAAACGATTTTATGTTTGAGTCAATCTTTGACAATGCTTAGAGCAAATAAACTTCACAATTTTAAGTTTTAGGTTAGCAAAATGTCATTTTCATCTATCATCATCTACGATTGGTCTGGTGATTTAGCGACTCTTAAAAATATTGGTCTAATACCACCTTGCAGGCCATAGGACACAGAGCTCTACAGTAAAATAGTGGTAAATGTGTCCATGTTACCAAATATACTTTATTGGCGCACCCCAATTAATAAAAGATAGGGATTGCTCTGTAATGTCAAATGTAACTTTTTGTGTCGGAAACATGTACAGATGTCCTACAAGCTTAGGCCTGGGGGATGGACTCGTTCGTCGGTCCGGAGTCACATGTGGAGCCGCGGGCAGATTTCAGATTTGCTCCTGTATTTTGGGACTCGACATTCACTTCAAATATTAATAACGTCTCGAATAGACAATAAAATAGAATACTTTATTTTCCGAACAATGGAAAGCAATTTAATTTTATAACTCTGCGAGAATGAACGATGTCTGCAGCGACTTTAATAAAAAACGGAATTGTTACAAACTCACGGAGTTTGGTTTGTCGTCGGCAACGTCACCCTACAACTTCACACGCCCTATATTAATGTTTTTACGCCACAATAATGTTTTTATGAGAGCAGTTTTAAATCTTCGCAATTTTAATAACTGTCATTATTATGGTTAAACACACATTACAAGGTACATTAGTGTCAAATGTACTCGTAAAATGTATGTTTAAATTGAAAGCCTGTTCATCCAAGTTCACTGCGTCTACAATTTTTTTTGCGCCGTAGCCTGCTGATGGGTATAATAAAGTATGTTTGGTATTGCATATGGAGAAAAGTGCAGTCAAAAGAAATAAGGCTCCGTCGATCGATTCCGCGTGAGTATTGCAGATTGCGTCAAAGATCGATCGTTATGAAAACCGATTACAGATTACGTTGATATGATAAACAGCTGATCGTTACTGCGAGCGATAACGATACTAACGACGGCCCAAACAAAGTGCGACCTCCGTGACCTCGTTGCTAGTGCCGCCGACGACTCAATAATATCGCGTTGCTCTGTGAAGCTTGGCTGCCGTCTGTCGCGCCTCAGGTCTAAGCTAAAGGTCACGGTTGTCCTGAGTCTTAACTTTGCCTTCGGATAAATATTCAAATACATGAGGGTGTGAATTCCAGGGATTTCACTGACTAAACTGAAGTTTAAACTGTAAACATAATTTTGTGAACAAAATGTCAGTTACATAGTTAACAAAAGTTTTCAATTCTTTTAACTCTAGACGAACTCTGAAAATGTTAGCAATTTGCCCGGAATAGTGATCATAATTACAATTAAATAATGCCTGTCGAGTCGATATTCATAAAAAGGTTTGATTGATGTATTTTTTAAAGGTAAGATAAGATATCAAATCTATGAGTTCAAAAAACTATGTAGATAAGTAGATTATTATTATTGAGATAGTCCAGATTTTGTCATGATGAGCACTATCCTTTATATTATAACGTCTTAGTTCCTAAATAAATGCTCCGCTAATCTTTCTTCGACGATAATACATTCTGCAAAGAGCAATGACTGATAAGAGCATTGTGGTTATGAGATGTGTACTTAATAGTACGATGTGATGTGACCTCAAATTAAAAACTTGTGTGAATTCATTTTCAAACGCTGTCTGAAAGTTTTTTGTCGTGTAATGTAACTGAAACATAGGTCCTACATGTCCTACTTACTACTTACTATTGCCGTATAATGGTCAGAGAAGTGAACTCTCATACCGTTATTCTGAGGGGATATTCTGAAACGCCCAAAAACTAGATTACTATTGTAATAATTTTAAAACCGGTCCAATTAGAGACGTGAATCTAATCTTAAGTCTAAGGCCCGCATTCAGTTGAATTCCAACACGAAGCACAAATAAAGATATCGCTTGCTTCTGAGATAGGTAGGGGATGTGGACATAGTTCGGATTCCTCTCGTTGAGGAAAAGTTTGTTAAGGAAGGAATTATATGTTTTTCACTTTTTTCTTTCGTTTGGACTTTCGGATAATCCCAGGTTCACATTACAAATGTATTAAGGAAGAAAGACAAGGAAATAATTCCCGTTTCATTATCTAATTAATTACTAATGACTTCTCCAGATATTTAAATTCTCGTGTCTAAAAGTTATTTGTTATTTAGGAATCAGTTTAATATTCTTGGCAGTGCAAATAAGTTATTTTGATTATGTAAGGGAGTTCATGCAACACCTATTTGTAGTTAGCGAAGACTCTACTGTATGTATGTACAGTCGCGGAATGAAAAGGTTCGTCAGTTTTCAAATTGATTCCTTCAACGAATCGCGAGCACATATTACCTTTTGAAACTATGTTACAGAATAATCTCGAGTTAGACAAAATAATCTTTAACTGTTAGTCAGTAAAGTTCAAAATTATTCAGATTAAAGTTGTTTGACATTTATCTTGTCAAGAAGATTATTATGATTGATAAACTAAAACCTTCTTGTTGGTTCAACCTGCCATTATTATTTCTATTAAGGGCTGATTTTTCAATCCTCAGATAACTTTTATCTGAAGAATAAGTTTGGCACATTGACAGTTCCAGTATGGGAAATATGTCAAAATGACAATTTTATTCTTCAGTTAAAAGTTATCCGACGATTGAAAAATCAGCCCTAAATAAAAAAAATACATTTTGTAACATTGCACTGATGGGACAGAAAAATAAGCAAAACCTTCTTCGTTAGCAAACGTCACATTTATTTAAATGTTAGCAGCACTGTTTCTTGCACTGGTATGTTGGCAGGTTTGACTCTTACACTTACCTAGTGCAAGCGAAAACCGACACTAAGGTGACGAACCTTTTCATTCCGCGACTGTACATAGTTTCTTTGAGTATAAATAATCTCTTTGGACATTTCTACTCTGCCCTGTAGTCCAAAACTAGTCAAAGTTTGTACTATAATAACCAAATCATCATCATTTCAGCCATAGGATGTCCACTGCTGAACATAGGCCTCCCCCAATGATTTCCATGTTGATGGATTGGTAGCGGCCTGCGTCCAGCGCCTTCCTACTTACCTTTATGATGTCGTCTGTCCACCTTGTGGGTGGACGTCCCACGCTATATTTTCCACGCTACGAAATATGTACCAGATGTTAGATATAAATATACACCATAACACCATAGACCACTTCTTATCATTTATTTTGCCTATTTGTGTAAATCACATGTTATCATTCTATTTTTTTTATTTATTTTATTTTTAGTTTGTTTCTAATATAAAATACTTACCTTAAATAGATTAACACAACCACGCAGTATCGATTAGCCGGTGGTGGAGGCCTGGTGTGCTGTAGCACAGGGTATCCTAGTACGGACACCAGTCTCTACGAAATACTTATTTTTGTTCCTTGTTGTTATAATTACCCGTTACAAATTGTGACTTTATGTATTTTGTAAAGAGAGAAATAAATAAAGTTATTATTATAGACAATGGGTTTATACATCTCTGCGCGGTGATCCTTGCAGATCGGCGCGGACGGGCGCCGCAGCCAGATCTTTCTGGCGATGTCGACGGCGGCGGAGTTCCGCGACCACCTGTCCAGCTTCAGCGACTTCTACTCCTCGCTGGGCCCGCCCAACCCTGACAACGTGCCTGACGATGGCAAGCTCAAGTCCGAGATGATGCTCAAAGTGAGTGCCCTACTATTACCACCTCTCATTACCACCGCTGCAACACCTGTGTAGCCAGGATATACAGCTTCACCGCCAATAAAACCCAACCAGTAAAGGCCAAGTTGGTACAACGTGCCCGACGACGGCATACTCAAATCGGAGATGACGATGAAATGCAATGGTGTAAAGCCGCGTATCCACTAGAGGCAGCCTCTGGCCGAGTGGCTACCACGTCCCGAGCGACGAAATGTGTCTCGGTCAGCGGTGACGAAAGCTTCGCAACGAGTTGTGGTTGAGGCAGCGTCTCCATTTGAGCAGTCGAGGCTGCTTCTAGTGAAGATCCGGCTTATGCTGCTCGACATGTAACTGATTTGGGTCAATATGCTGCTACCGCACACCTACAGCCTCCTTCCCACTCTGCTGGACGAAGATGAGAGTAAGAATGGGGCTTACCTGAAATTTTGACCACCAGCTATTGCTGATTTCCAGTTGTGTCGCGGTCTGTGACGACTAACTGGCTACCTCCATTGATTTACTGCGCCCTCGTCCTTTAAGGTTCGGCCAAACCAACGTGTACAGCCTGCGAGCCCAATGGCGTGCACTATGGCGATCGGCGATCAGATCCGCTTGTTATTTTGACGTTTCAGATTTTAAAATGGCGGAAATTTTCTAGATAAACGCCTGGAACGCGAACGCGGCAGTGTGAACAACTTTAGCACGCGTAGTGGTCCCCATCGCGCACGTAGGCTGCACGCGTTGGTTTGGCCGGACCTATATCTAGCCCAAACGATTTCACTGTTTCCACACAACCTTGTCGAATTGCCAATAAACAAATTTAAGATACATATAAAAATACCCTTATGTCCAAAGGGTACTACAAGGTTCGAGACTATATTGATGACAAGGATGCGTGGTCAGTTCAGTCTGCACATATTTGATGTACTTGAATTTGACTATTCTTACCGTTAGATACCTAATTCCTGGCAATAAGTGGTGACTGAGTTTGTTCCGGCGTTTCTTCTCAGCACTTGCCATATGTTTGTCTCGAAGCGCTGGTAGGGCCCAAAAGATAAGGAGACATGTAAAGTGCCCCATAAGGGCTACCTTTTCTTTTTTTATTATTTTCTATTGACGTTCATAAGTGCCACTTGTGGTCTAAACTGAATAAATATTTTTAATTTTGATTTTGATTTTTTCCTCCTTAAATTCCTGTGTACCCCATACCGCGCAGGACAACCGGCGGTACTACCTTGACCTGAAGGAGAACTCGCGCGGGCGCTTCCTTCGTGTCTCGCAGACCATCACGCGCGGCGGCCCGCGCTCGCAGGTCGCGCTGCCGGCGCAGGGCATGATCGAGTTCCGCGACGCGCTCACCGACCTGCTGGACGACTTCGGCACCGACGACGGCGGGTGAGTGCGCACACGCTCGCAGATCACACGCACACGTCACACTTACACTTACATTTAAAGGACTAATGCCCCTTTTCACGATCAATCTTTTAAACTTTTTAAGCGATCCCTATGAAAGCAAAATTGCTGTTATGTGTTACCATAGGGGTCACTTAAAAATTAGGGAATGATGGTGAAAACGGGCATTACACTTACATTTAAAGGACTTATGCCCGTTTTCACCATCAATCCCTAATTTTAAAGTGGTCACTTAAAAATTATGGAAACAAAATTCCTGTTATGTGTTACAATAACGGGACTATTCCCACCTTTCGTCCCCACCACTGCAACTCCTGTGTAACCAGGATCTACAGCTTGACCGTCAATAAAAACCCAACCAGTGAAGGTCAAGTTTGTCCCGGGGGTGTGTGTGTTACCATAGGGGTCACTTAAAAATTAGGGATTGATGGTGAAAACTAGCATTAGACAGACATCGCGCAAACTGCAGAATTTTAGTCGGCCGATAGTTGGATCGGATTTCAATTTGTATGAGAAATCCACCAATATCAATTCGGTGTATTGTACGTACACACTTCCATACATGCTCATACGGATTAACTAAAAATTACTTTTCATACTAATAACTTTAAAACACTTACGTTTCATACTAATATAACCTTCACTTACGTTTAACGTGACTCACACTTGCGTTTCATCTGATTTGCACTTACGTTTGATATGAATTACATTTATGTTTTATACTACTTATACTTTCGTTTCGTACTGATAGGACTTTAACTTGTTTCATATGACTTACACTTAAGTTTCTTATCATTTACTTTCAAAGTAACAATTTCATTCACGCAAAACACACAAATACGCTCACTACGTATTTTGAACATTTCATATTCATTACGCATAAACATGTAAATACTCTTTGATTGGACTAATACACATTTTGCTTACATTTCAAATGCACATTGCGTCTCGTACACAAGCCGCGTCACACCCATGTTTAGTACAGAGTGTTACACACACGTCGCCAAGTTGTACTCATTTTAATATGTTTTTCGTACGTGTGGAATATAATTTGAATTAAATTTAGCCATTAAAATCACAACACTGCGTTGTGGTTTTGCAAACGACAGACACAAAAATTACTTTAGTACTTATGACACTGCAGCTACAGACTTTTAGTCGGCCGATAGTATGTCCCGATCCTAATTTGTATGAAGAACAAATCGGTGCACACTTTCATACATGTCCATACTGATTACCGACCCAACTATCGGCGACAAAATGTCGATGGTCTGCGCCTAAGCTAATATCTACTTTTGTTGCAGTTCAAACAAAAAGGCATTTTAATTTTTACTTATTTTACCTTCAAAATATATTGTTATAACTTTTTAAACCGAATAATATTGATCAACCTGTGATATTTATACTTTATTTTCAAACAACATGATGTATTTAAGAACTGCTATAATGCTTATTATTGTGTAAGTACCCAAATTAACGAATGGAGCGTTTGTCGCTCATATAAATTATTCAATAACGCATATTATTCTAAAACTGCAGGCTTTTCCTAAATGACAAAAAGCATAATGTCAAATTATACAACCATAGACACTTGGGTCTTTTCGTGAATCAAATTTCAACCAAAAATATTGAACTACCTACATTTTTGGCATGAATAAGATTTTCAATGCGTGTTTGACATTGTGCGTGTTTGCCATTTTGCGTTGAAGCTATTTTTAAAATTAGCATATAATTATGTATATTAATTTGTTTTTTCCACGAATGAGATGAAGAGACGTAAGCAATTGGCCATAATTTATTAACTCGTGTTTTTCTCTTCCATGCCATGCGTAAGGTCGCCGCTCATGTCGGACCACGGCAACGTTAGGTGTGAACCAATCTGACCGTACTGTCGAGTCCAAATTTATCAAACGCCTAGGCGAATTTCCTGTCTACAACGCCACAACTTACAACACCCTGTATTTATAGACATTTTTGCACATGGTCCTTTTAAAAACTCTAGATTTTGTCATAATGGATGCTAAACAAATAGGGTTTTTCTTGACACTTAAAATCTCGAAAATTATATTAATGAACTGTATGCCCTTGCATGTGTACAAGCACTTAAATAATTTTAACAACATGTTTACCTTGCAAATAAACTGTTTAAATTCAAATAAATCAATTTTAATAAGATTTTACCTAGACTCGTTTCGAGTTTTGAGAGAATCAGGCTTAGCATGATGTGACAAGACTGGAAAGCACTTCCAGGCGAAATGAAATGAAATGAATTATCCAATAAAATATTTACAAATCATGCACATTAATTTGTTCTACAGGGTTTGATGAGCTTGTGGCGTTGTTCAAGTTCTGAAGAATTTATTTATTTATAGAATTAGCTTTTCTTTTCAAAATTTGAGATACGCCTAGGTGTTTCGAGTTGATGTTACTGTCTCTCTGTTTCTTCTACCCTTGGGGCATCATTAGTTAAAAATCTTATAATATCCATCCAGTAAAATAAATATTATTCTTAAATGTTAAACATTTGTAAAGGTTTTGAGTTGAAAGCCGTGAGGTTATCTAGTGATGTTCCAAGAATTTCTATGTATGTATTTGTGGTTTGATTGTCATGTGATTTTTAGATTGTTGTTTTGTATGAGGTTTGAAGCAAACATTTGAGAATATTATCAAAAGCAAATTATAAAGCAGACCAAAGAGGTCATGCCAAGGTCTTCAAACCGTGGGTTTTGGTTTAAAAGCCCAATTAACAAAAGAGTTTTAGTAATCGTTGTTATAAATCCAGTTTATCACGATTATTAGAGCTGTGGTAGGAATAGCATGTTAGTGAGCACACCACACAAGCTGCCTCCAAGAATACTGGGTAAATACCTAAACTAGGTGGCAGACCATTGTTCTGAAACTTAATTGTTAAAACATACAACACAAAACTATAAATTGTTTGGTGACTATAAACGAAAGTAGAATTTATGCTTCAACAAATTTGGTGTGCAACGCTTGCAAATCGTACGACAGATCCGTGACAGTTCACGCGACCTGTCATTTATGATCACGCCGGCGATGGCGATGTGCACGCGTTGGTGTGGTTGAAGCTTTAGAAGTTAAACGTTATTCTATCTATTCCAACATCTTTCAAATCTGTACAAAAACCACAGCTCTAATAATCGTGGCGCGAGCTGTGCGGTGGTAATGCAAAGTGAACCTTACGGTTCCAGCTTCAAGGGCGAGCTGCCTGAGGGCCGGCACCTGCGCGTGGACAACAAAAACTTCTACTTCGACATCGGCCAGAACAACCGCGGCATCTACATGAAAGTCAGCGAGGTGGTACCATCGTTACAAGTAATTGTAGCACTTGAACCTAACGGTAGCAAGTAACGAGCGGGTACGGCCACGCTTGGGACATGGCGGACACTTAGGCTGGGTTGCACCATCTTACTTTAACTTTAACAAACATCAAAAATCTGTCAAACTCCATACAAAGAACACCGGTTATCGTTATAGTTACGGTCAAAGTTAGGTGGTGCAACTCAGCCTTAATATTAATGACGATAGAGTTAATGCAGATAAACATTTAAAAAAGTAATTCAAACAGACAAGGCGCCATATTTTTGCACAAGCGTGGCTATATCCAGCCTGACAATCAGAGATTTGCGTGCACTGGTGTTTTTTGGTCACTAATTGTTTCTTGTACTGAAAAAAACTTACTCATCAGTTTAAAGACAATATTATTATGTCATTAGCTATAATAATAACGTTAAATACCAGTGCTCGCTTTCTCCTAAATAAAATTTTAGTTTCATGAACATACATTCCATTATTGTCTGCTAGGAGATGGGTTAAGAATAAGGTTATTAAAACCCTTCTCCTTCAGCTCTATTTATATTTTTATGTAGTCTCGTGATAATGGAATGAACCAAAATGAACAGAAATAATCTTAGAATACATAACTAAACAAATGTGAATGATAATGTTGTGTGAAAATATTTAATTGGTGTATGAATCTAGCTGTGAGAAAGTCTTTAATTGGTGCATGAACCTTTTGGGAGGGGAACCTGGTACCGCTGACTTCGTAATCTAGATCTTGATGCAATCTTCTTAACGAATAATACTCAAGAGCCTCCCGTGTTTGCAGGTGAAAAGCAACTTCCGCACAGCGATCACGGTGCCCGAGAAGTGCTGGACGCGCTTCCGCGACATCCTGGCCGACTACTGCGACAAGATGTGCCGCGCGCACCACCAGGCGCAGGACCCGCAGATGGTCAGTTATTTACATTTATTAAAACAAAGACTCAAAATTGATCCTTGCAGAAAGGACATTTTTATTTGGCGTTTATAGGAAAGGACTCAAAATAGACCCTTGAGGAACTCCTACTTTGGTTTGGCCTTAATAATAAAGGACTCAAATTAGACCCTTATGGTAGCTCCTACTTTTGTTTAGGATTTATAAGAAAGAACCCAAAGGAGATCCTTACTGAACTCACTTTTGTTAAACATTTTTAGGAATAGGAAATGACACAAAATAGACCCCCTTGAGACACTCCCAACTTTCTTTATTTTAGGAAAGCACAAATTAGACCCTTGTGGAACTTCTACTTTTTTTTAGAACTCCTATATTGCTAATAAGACCTGCCGTTGTGAAAATCCTTGAAGGAGGCTTTTGTCAAGCAGTGGACTTCCTTTGCTTGAAATGAAAATTATAATAAATGTAATCATCAACAGCCCTTTACAGTCCACTGCTGGACTATGAGCCTCCTCCACTATAGTAGAGGGTTTTGCCATAATCCCCACGCTTGGCAGGCGGGTTGGAGATCGCAGTTTAAAAGATTTATGTTTGTCAGAGAGCGCTGCTGCCCGTTCTCTGTTTGATGTGTAGTCCCTAAGTCGCCTCTTACGACACCCGCGGGAAGAGTAGGGGTTGGTGACAAATGTATTCTACTCTGCCGTAAATAATAATATGTAATATTGAGGAATAATAAACGTGTGTGTGGCGACAGGTGGGCCCCGGCGGCGGCGGCGGGCCGGGCGGCGCGGGCGGCAGCGTGCGCCAGACCACCGCGCAGACCACGCCCGTATTCGATGTAGTGAGTACCAGCTTGCTGTATAAGTAGAACAAGAAATAATAAACTAGATATGAATTTTTTTTTATAAAAACAGGTGGTGCCAAAAATGAGCCCAGGTTTTCACTACGGCATTGTATGTCCACGGTCCGAAAGACGTGGTGTGGACGGGCCTCTCAGTAGGTGGACCGGCGATTTAGTGAAGATCGCAAGAAGTACCTGGACGCGGGCAGCGTAGGATCAATCGTTGTGGAAATCTTTGGGCGATGCCTTTGTCCAGCAGTGAACGTCATTTGGCTAAAACGAACGTACGAAATATTTTACTTGTCAAGTGTGAAACGTGTTCCGTGCCTGCATTGATACTAACATCGTCGGAAGCACGGAAACGCCCCGTACGTTCACAGCCTGTGGTTGTTAGCCTGTCAGTGGTGAGCTAATTCGGCTCTAGAAACACGAAATAGTTAATTGACGATTTCATATTTAAGTAGATGAATAAAAGTTTACAAACATCCTTATATCTTTCAGGTTCATAGCTTTAAAAGGACAGGATTAGCATATCTTCCTACAATGGGAATAATAAAGTTTCTGGTATGTGAATGTCGAAAACCGATTTAAAACAGCGACTTTATCAATTCCAGGACACATTACCAGGAAACGCGCCGAACCGGATTTGATGCGAGGATTTGAGCGCCTACTACTGAACTGCCGACTATCGCGACACCGACAGCCCGCCACCGAACCAGACCCGCCGCTCGCCGGCGCCGGGCGCCGCGCCGGGCCCACGCCGCACCCGCCGGGCCCGCGCCGGACCCGCCGGGCCCGCGCCGGACCCCGCCGGGCCCAAGCGGACGCGCGCCGCCCGACGCCACTGACGATGCGTTCGTCTTATCTGTATATAGTATTTTATATACGTATGTTCGGGGCGCCGAGTCACAAGTGGCCGTACCACTATCGCGCGGTACGACAACTTTTACTACTGTTAACGTCATGGAATTAACTGATGCTGCGTAAATTTTGGCCGCGTTACGATGTAACGCAAACATTAGGAATACAAAAGACAAATTTTTGGACTCGGACGTTTCGGTAGTAAGAGTTGGTGTTGATTGTTGTATCGTATTAAAGTACCGCCAGTTGTGCTCGGACGCCCGATATAGTAGTTATATGTATGTATGCCGTTGACGTCACAGCGACTCCGGTAGATGTAAGGATGTGATAAAATATTTGAGCTTTATGGTTTATTTGTAATAGTTCACGCGCGCCTGCGCACTTTGAGTGCCTCGCCGCGCCCGCGCGTGTCCCTTTGTCTGACCCACACTACTTTCGGAGATTCGTAAAACATAAAAGCATAGATTTCTCCACTTGATAGACAAGTTGGTGGTTGTTAGCATACACTTGGTGTGTGAAGGACAGGCGGCGGGCGCGGGCGAACGTCGGGTCTGCGTCAGAGACGCCACAAGCTTTGAGTCAAATCTTCAAATTCACATGTACGTGGCCTTTTAATCTAATTACTTGTGTGACGGCTGCGGCCGGTCGTTTTTTCTGAAACTAACATTAGGTTTTATTTTTTAAATTATCATTTTATCTTTTACTCTTACCATTTTTTATACGTGTAAATAGTTGGCACTCGGCACACGAAAACGGGATTATGAAATGTATCGATTGATTTATCAGAGGGTCGGAAGTTTAATTCCGATCGAAGTCATTTTATTTTTGTTAAGTTGTACCATATTCAGTGAGTCAGGCGATGCATCGCGACCGGGCGAACGGATTGGCTATTAACGCTTTAAACTAAGTAATCGCATCTCTGACGTCTTTAATTAACAACATAATAAAATTGAAAAAAAAAAAACTGTTAATTGTAAAATGCCACTTATCTAGTTTGTAGGTGTATGTGTTTTTTTAACATGGAATATTTAAATATAGTTTTTCGTCTATACTAAGAAGCATACGGCAGGCACGGAGTATGCGGGGAGTCGTCTCGCACGAAGCGTGACGTCGGGTGACGTTGGAATCGGGACCTTCGGTCGAAGGTCATGAGTCGGCATTTCAGTGGCGAGACGGTTCCCGGGGGACTGGCACCGGGTGTTTACAGGGCGGGTGGGGCGCGGGGCCCGGGCCGGGGCGTGCGGGCGCGGGCCCGGCTGGGCGCCGGCGGGCCCGGGCCCCGCGCCGGCCACCTCGAATCATTAGGTAAGTGCCACACTGCTGTGATATTCTCGTAGATCCAGGCGATTTATAATTACCGCAACGCCGCGGTCACGATTGGCTATCAAAATTGGGAATGACCGTTTTAGGATATTTTTCGGATTTATACTTTTGATGTTGAACGTCAACTGTCAATTTTTTTGAGTGAAACTCGAAGTTTTTAGGGAAACGAATTGGTGGGGGTCAAAATTGTTTGCCAAATTATTGGAATCGGGAGACTAGTGTGTATACGTATTTGAAAACAGCGGGCAGTGGCCGGCTCGGCGCATCTTGTATTTGATATAAGATGAAACACTGTTAAATTAAGCAAACTCATGTTTTTCTTGGATATTAAACTCTGTTTTTAAAAAATAAATTAATGATCTTTGACACTGAAATGTACGTCAGGCCGCCATTGTCCGCTACAAATCCGCCTGAGGGGTAGGAGAGGGGAGGGAGGGGTCTCCGCGGAAGTGTGGTTTGTAAGCACCCTGTGTTGTGGTCGGGGACGATCGCTTTTGGAATCTACGGCAGCGCAGTATATTTCTAATCTCTTCTATAGTTTGGTGATCGGTATATTTTGATAGTTTTAAATACTCGGATTTTATATTCAATCGGTGGTCACCGCCTCTCGCTTTCTACCCGCGTAGAATAAAACGGATGCATGCCCGGGAAACATACGCAGGATTGAGTGATCTCGAGTCATCGATTGATATAAGGCTATCCCGTTTTTGCTACACGCGAGTAGAAGGAGACGGACCGGCTGTCAACTGAAATCCGTTGAATATAAAAATCAGTCATTTTAGTAATCGTTTGAAAGTGAACGTTACAGCATAATAATAAAGTGCATATTCCAAGAGTGAGTCCCTCACGTGCTTGCGCGGGCCCTCACGTGCCTTCGACTTTATTGATGTATTTAAGCATTTTTGTTTTTACTATTATTACGGTTACGAGCGTAACTACATCACCCCTGAGTTTTCACCCTTTATTGGTAGCTTTAAACGCGCTGTCGACGTCGCATCGATCGCGGACGGAAAAACCTTTACGACGTAACGTGCTTTTTAAGAAAAAAACAAAAAAATCGTAAAAAGTCGAAATAAAAATAGTACATAAAAAGTTGTTACAGATAACCGAGCGCGTTAAGTTTTGTAAACGTTTTTTTTTTTATTGTATCCTGTAATGATTATGTAGGAGCGTTTCGGACGCGTAGTATATATTTTTTGTATTAGTTTTACGATAGTTTCGAATCGTCCCTCGGGCTTCGCTTCGTTCGATACAGTATTGTATGGTGCACAGCGTCGCGGATGTATCATATAACTTGTTTTTGTTCCTAGTTGTACTCAAGCTTTCCATGTTACGCCAGAAACCAACACTGCAATGTATTCAAATCAACCGTCGCCTGGTTCCTCTGAGCATAATACTGTCGCAGGTTTGTGGCGTAATACTCGAAGGCGTTAGTCGCTGTGCTTATCTCTAAGTCAGGTTGTACGTTCCACGTGCAATAGATACCGCTTCGCCGAACCGATTATACCTACTGTTAATGTTTAACTTCGATCGTACATCGTTCGCGAGCAGTCGCACGACTGGAGGCAGCGGGACGATTACGCGATCCGTATGTAACCTTCCGTGCGCAGTCAGTCGTGCGGACTACTGCGACTTGCAATAAATTGATTGTGAACGATGACCTGCAGATGCCATCTAAGTAGAAAGAGAGTTGTTTGAGTGACAGAGACGGCACTAAAATCTATTTCACTCATATAGTGCCCTCCCCGTCACGCATGTTTTCGACTCGACAGATTGCTGAACACTGCAGTTATCGTAATTTAAAACAGAAATTGTAAAATAGCGTATTTTTCACCCTTACGAATCATAGAAATAGTTAGATCCATTCGATTGCAACCTCCGGGCTCGTACCCGGGGTGCACTCAATGTGGTATTTGTGTAGGTTAATTTACAGTACATTTTCCTCTGACCATTTCTTAGAGTGGCATAAGTTGGTGACGTCCGATTTAAGTGTTACATATAGAAAAAAAAAGATAAATAACTATATAAAAACACTTCTGCAGCGTGGAATGAAAACCTTGGAGCTTTAAAGAGTGATTCATCGAAGATACCACTTATTCGATTTCTCGAAATTGTAACTCGGTATAATGCATGCACGGCATTATCATAACTCCTCAATCAAAAAGGTCTGAATGGATTTACAACGGAACAGCATTAGCAATTTTGACAAACGAATGATTCGTGTGTTCGATACGATCGACGATAGATCCTCCAGTGTTTTTGAGTTGTGCTGTACGTTAAAATAGTAATATTATGTAAGGGGGCGGCGGTCGTTAGGCCGGGCGGCGGCGCGCGCGCACGAGTGCCGAGTTGGCTCGCGGGGAGGCGGTCGCACTGCTGCGTACTGGGTGGTACATAAAAAAATCTTCCAATACACAAAAGAACGCATCATTACAGGCATCGTAAATCTGAATCTACCTTAACAATAGGTACTATCGACAACAGTGTTAACTGCCCATTGCCGGTCATGTCGTCTCGTTCTATCGCAAAGAATCACCATTGATGAGAGCGAGAGCAAAAACGGAAATGGATAGTTAACACTGTGGCCGTGTGTACATTTTTAGTTCATTTTAAGAACTCGTTCTTTATCAAGGTATATTCTCTTAATAGAAAAAAATAGCAGTCGGACATGGTGTGTGCCACCCCGTACCTCATAGCCTAGTCCCCAGCACGGTGCCTCCCCGCGACGTGGCTTAATTTTAACAACTTTATGGTACAAAAACGTAATTTTAGTTCCATAGACGGTTAAGACTACAGAGTTTATATCTAGAGATTATTAAAGTATATCCTCCGGCTGGTTCAGCCAGCCTAGCAACAGTCAATAAAATAAAATAATGCTATATGATAAAGATATATTAATATTAAATAGTGTCTATTCTTCGAGAAGCTAGTAATCGCGTGGGTTTAAGTCGGCAATAGTTTGTAGTGCACGATTTGCTAAGAGATTTTTCATTTCCTCGAGATCTCCGTTGGGTCGGGCCGGCAATTATGTTTTCCCATCACCCTTGACTTATCCATGACCTCCTTCTTAAGTCCCTATGCCTATTGGCAACATTTATTCAAAAACAATAATGAAGTCCTTTTTCAACAGTCTAGTTCTATCAGAAAGACTGGATATTCCCAACCCATTGACCTTTATGTTCTTTTTCCTGCCCTTCTGAACATAAAAAATCTCCTTTGATCCCTTCAATTATTATTTGTATCTATACTTAGATTTATAATTCACGTCATTAATTTGGCAATCCTCGTGCGATAATGCTATACGCGTATAAGCGTAGATCTTCGGTCAATTCCAGTCGATTGATAACATTATTATGTATCCTTGTTTCACGGTTTCTATGTATGCCACTTTTCGAGAAATTACTGACGCGAATTAAAGTCTAAGTACTTTTGTATGTGCAACCCCCACGAAGTTTTAGTGACAAATAGCACGATGAGAAACGATAGCCAATGTGTAATAGAAATCGCCAGATGTACTCTTTACGATTTCTATCGCCTATTGATTTGAGTTTTAATCTGCTGGTCTTCAGACTTCGGCGGGGCTGTATCAGACAATGTAGTGCGTCAGGTCCCGCCGGCCCAAGTCTCGTGCCGCCGGAGCGGTGCCGCCGAGTGCTGCCCTGTGATAGCGCGCCCACCGCCGTCGCCCGCACGTCTCTCTCACGCTTCACGCTTATTCATCTTAGTTAAGGTTTATTCAGAGTAAATACAAATGAGTAGGTCATCTTCATAGAAACGCACCGAGCGCGGTTTATATGTGAGCTCGCCAATATACGTATGCGGCGCGCACGCACACACTGACTAAATTCGGCGCAACCACGACTGGCTCCCCGCTAATCGCCGCAAAATTTTGTCAGTGTGTGCGTGCGCGCCGCATACGTATATTGGCACGCTCACATACAAACCGCGCCCGTGCGTTTCTATGAAGATGACCTACTCATTTGTATTTACTCTGGTTTATTTTTATTCCTTACTCCACTTGACATATCGTAACCAGTCTCTTAAACGTAGAAATGCCGTTTTCGAATCTAGTTACGGACGTGGAATTAAGGCTTCGGCACACGTTCACTTTCTCTTTGCCCTAAGTATTTCTATGGTTATTAATTAAAATGTTCAAAGGGATCTCCAAGGCAGCTCCGATTCCTCTTTAAATACAGGTTACTACTCTGACTCGACCGGACACGACACAATTTTTCTGCCAAATCTTTAACTTTATTTTGAATTCTTCTAAAATAACTACAGTCCACAATCTTTACTCCTTGTCGGTTTAGGGAACGTGTGCCTTGTATGTAAGTGTTTATTCTCTATTCACAACTCGATGGCTATGTTGTCAAACAAAGCATGTACGAAATTAAATAAATCAATAAAAGTAAATACTCAAACCACTAAGTTATCACATTTTCAACAACAGTCATCAAAACAATTTTTACTAAGCGAAGGTGTCATTCTCTACACCTGTTGCAATGTAAATGTCTACCTTCGAGTTGTGAACTGAGTATTATTGCGTGCAGTTTGAAGTGATAGTCAATTATTATAATATTCACTCGCCGCGCCGCCGACTCACTCCACGCAGCGCTAGATCTAGTCGGAATGTACTGAGGCAGAAGTAAACTATGGACCTAAATTCAATACCACAATGTTTATTACGACTATTACACATGATGTCCCTTGTAATTTTCATCAAATTTAAGTTGAGTCAAAAGACATTAAGACTATTAAATGGTTGTGCTAGACTGATTACTTTTGTCGTGTTACTTCATATTTTGGGACTATCAGTATGAAATATGGATTGTGAGTTGAATTTTATGCTTATATCTATGTCAAATGTTGGTTTCATTAACACCATGTCTATCTAGATGATGTTCTGATTTCCACATACGGATTCGGAAGACATAATCTATTTGTTAAATATTTACTGATATTTCAATTTTTAAATCATGTTATAACATTATTTATTGTGGCCTAAACTTCAACGAATTGGTCGTTTCAAACTGCTAAACGATATCATTGTTATAGTTAGACATAACTTTATTTATACATTGGTTTTTGAATATTATTGTTTAATGCCAGAATATTGTAATTTTTAGCAATTAATCAAACGTATGTATAAGCGATACCGAGGTATTGACACGTTAGCATTTTAGTTGTCTGCTTTGGGTCCATAGTTTCCATGGTATGAGGACGAGTGTGTCGGCGGCGAGCGCCACGCCGCCCCCGTAAGTGTTATACATTACATTAAATAAATAGGTCACTAGATAAAGAAATACAAACTGTGAAACTTAAAAATCAGAGTTATAATAGTACGTTAGTTTTAATTATATTTCTGATATTAATTGATGTTTTGCTAAAAGATAATTTATCTGTACGTTACGTTTGATGTCGCGTGGTTGTAGCGAGCTTCTGCCGTCGCAGCGTCCACCGCGCCACACTTCGGCTATTGTTTTACGGACAGATTATTGTTAGTTTACAGTTCCTCGCAAATGCATCCACTTGGATCTTGTTACACCACGCGGGCCCGGAGCACGACTCCCGAGCTCCTTGTTAATCGCGATAGTTATTCGACTCCGAGAGAGATGGGGACTGACAAAGGACCAAGATGAACATACTCGTGCGCTCATACTTTTGTTACCTTCCATCTCTTTTGATCAGATGTCGAAATGTAGATTGTTTGCGTTTTGTAACTCGACAACGACAAATGTTATTCCTTCGGGTTTCGTCGCTTCAGGCCCCACTTAATAATTTTAACCCGCCACTACTATGTAATGTAACCTCAAAAATATTTTTAATACAATATAAGCAATACCACAGTACCTGAAATTGAAAAAGGATATATAAAGAGAAAAATGTAATAGTTCGGAAATATTGGTTGGATACAAATATGTAATAGAACTTGGCGGTGTTTGACGAGCAGTTATAAAACAGGAAAACGGTTGCATAAATGTTGCGTTGTGATGTTGGTTTGATTGTTTTGTGCGTTTCTTGCTTTGGACGGTTGATGGAACTAGTTCGACGGGGCCAGCGGAGCCGCCCGCTTCACCACGGCGGCTCCCCTGGCGCCCCACGATTGTAAATACTGGCTGAAAATTTTCAATCTTTAACCCTTAGCATGTATGAGAGCGGGTCAATAATACATTATTACTGGAAATGGTAGTCACGGGTTGGATTCCCCACGTCGGTGGTCGGAGACTGGACCCAGCAGGGAGCTGCGCCTCGCGCAGGAGGCCGCGTCGCTCGCTCCTAGGATGGCGAGTGCAGGTAACATTAGGTCCTGGTTAGGGTAAACGGTTGAAGGGAACATAAGCGAGGTGATAGGACTTGTTATTAGGCATAGGAATCACTGGGACCGGCTGGAGTGTGTAGATTTTTACCCTGGATTTAATAAATTTAAATCAAATACAGACTAACGATTGAAGCTTTCGATGAACCGGGCAAGGTAGACTGCTGGGTTCAGGTCTACATAGCTAGTCGGTTCTACCACGTATGTTTAGGACGTGCCATACGCAGGAGTCGAGTCGCCACGACACGCGGGCAGCCAGCGGCGGCGCCCGGTGCGGCACCGCGGCGTCTCGTTGCTGTGCGGAGGAATAGTTAACATCCGGACAGTTTACTTTCATTATGTACGTGTATGTATTAGGGTATCCTTTGTATTTACGTCCAGGAGATAGTGGAATGAAAATTGCTTCAGTTTTGTGTTGAATTATTAGGATGTAATGCTGGTCGAGTAAGGTGTCGCAGGTTGATAGCGAGATCTGTCTGCGGAGTGCAAGGAGCCGCCGCCGGCAGCTGCCGGCGCGCGTCACGTCACGAGTGATACGCGAGAAATATCATGAGTGTGAGATGGAGGTGAACAAATACTGCCAATCGATTGTAGTTTATATTATATAATGGATAATGATTTGTAGCGTTAAAACGATTTCGAAATATTGTGTCCTGAATATTTCATATTTTATGTATAGTATCGAAATGCGGCGGCCCGGTGCTGTTCAAGCGCCCGCCTCCGGCCCGGTGGGCCACGCGCTGTTCAGTTTCGGTCGTGCCTTCAACTCTCATTCATCTTACGGACAATAGATTGTACTGTACGAGTCATCTCTCCATCCGGGCGCTTGGGCAGAATCGGCCGCACTGTAAATGTTTTCCTTAGGGTGAGAACGATGGATACAACTGTGTTCTGTAGTGTACCGAGCGACAGGGCGTTGTCTAGATAGGTTTGCACTTGACGCGCGGCCGCTACTAGCGTGCGCCCGCCCGCCATCTTGTAGGCGCCATAACGCAAAATGGCCGCGCGGTGTATAAGCGAACTTTGTTCGCTGGGCTAAGATGTAAAAAAAAAATAGATTGCAATATAAATTGTGGTTGTTAGGCGTAAGATGACGGCATATTGGGTGTTGTGTATGAAGAGGTGGAGATGAGACCTAGCTGGTTAAGGAATGGAAGTCCCATAGAACACGTATTTTAAATTGTTTTTTTGACATTTTGTCTTGTAAAATTCTAAAAGAGTAACATAAATGAGGCTTTCGGAAACTTGCCTAATTTTGGATTAATATGCACCCAATATGCACTGGAGTAGTGATTAATTTTGATATCGTAAAGTACGGAACTGTGGGACTGACGTGGCTCATGTGATGAGGATAAAGGTTTATTTGTATTTTGATTTGTAAAATGCTCCGTGTGTAACACGGCTGCATTTCGAGACTGCTTTTGTGTGTGTGGGGAGGTGGCGGCGCGCTCGGCGTGGGTTCCGCCCAGATTTGATGCTCTCCGAGGGACCGACGCGGCCGTAGCACCGCCAGCCACCGACCCCAAGGCGCTTCCCTTGCACAATTTATGGCTTTCACCGAATAGGTTCTCATCACCAGCATTAAAATGGTTTGGTGAGGCCCGAAAATTGTGGAATAGACGCGCCAGTGAGATTTTGTATCCAAAGATTGAATAGTGTGATGTATAACTTCCTATAGGTTTATTATTATACTAGTATTTTATATAACTTACTTGTTGTTTTTTCTATTGTTTGACACTAGTTGGTATTGAAATTTTGGAAAAATGACAGATCTCCAAATCGAATTTTGATGTGAAATCAACAGACGTAGGTTTGTATGTCTGGTACGAACACTCTTGGCGTGATGGGCACTCGTGTAGAGGGCGAGCGATAATACTCCAGGTAGCTGTAGTGTCTGTCACGTTATTGTATTTATGTATTTTGGAACGAGTGGAACTCTGTGCTCGAACTAAAAAATAACAGGCAAGTCCAGTATTATTGCCAAGTTTTGACCTTAGAGTTCGGGCGCAGGGAGTGTATATCATGGGATAGGATGGCAGTGAAACTGCAGCTAAGATGGTGCTTGTGTGTACTTACGAATGGATATCATATTGTTATATTATTTCTACTTCAAAAAAATAAGAAAAAAAATGCGCCTATTTATTTTATTTTAGAAAGAAACTGTAAGATTTATTTAGGAACCCTGCAAATTATTTGCTGAATTGTCCGAATGCGTTAGTTTTTATTTCGTGTCTTACTCTTGTTTGTGAGCGTGACACGAATTATTTTTCTGTACACAACCTTTTTTGTCACATAATAGTCTTGAGAAGTAATCAGCAATAGATCTAAGGTTGTTTTGTACCGAAGAATACTCGTGTAGCGAGGATAAGAGCCGTCGTGACGTGAGAAACGTGGGTAGATGAAGCAGCCGCGCGCGCGACGCGCGTGTGACGTCGCGCGACGCGGGTAGTTGCTCGACATACACAAGGCGGAATATTGGTGCGCGACTGCGACGCGCGGTGTGCCGTAGGAAAGTTTTACGATAAATGGTGAAAAAATAAAGAAACTACAAAAAAACAAGCTTTTGTTTTATTTTATTTTTGTGAACCTATTGTGTTATTACAAAGAAAAAATAACACTGAATTTTGATAAAGTAAGAATTCAAGTATTCTACTCTACAGTTAATAACGCGGGGCCAACGAAATCGTATTTAATAAAGCCCTGATAAAATTGGTCAATGACGCAAAATAAAATTCATATTTTTTTATGGCCAATTTTTATCCGATAAGACGTAGTAGTAGGCCAAATAGCATAATTTCTTGGTTACCTACTGAATATACAGTTAGGTTGGTAACTAAGTTGGTACACATAAACTTAAAACCATTGTGTTTTTTTATCGGATAAGTTCTTATGATATTCTAACTATCTACATACTATACATGTCTCGCCGCTTAGGTAGGCACTTGACGTGAGACTTGAGCGTGTCAGCAGCGTGCTCATCTTCTACTTGAGTAAGGCACTAATTTTTACTAGGTTTTTTTTTTAATGTTACTTGGACAATTTCACACAGCGCCAGCTAGCCCCAAAGTTCACACAGAAGTGTAAAATGAGTAGGTACGCTTCAAGCTAGAAATCTAAATTCAGAAAGCGAGGCTAGTAGAGGGGTGTGTGGTCCTATGTTCGATTTAGAAAACTTATGAGACTTGTGTGTGTACCTAGGTCTGAGGTGTAATGTAGTAGATTTAATTCAACATTTGATTTGCTTTTCACAATAAAAAAATGAGTTACGTCTCGTAATAGTTTTCTAAATGGAACATCGCGGGCTACCTACTTTTTTACACATTTTTTGCATCTTATAATAACTGCATAACAATGTAGGTATAACTTGATGTGCCGTCATCTTTATACTGTTACATACTCTTACCCAAATATTTAATTTAACATTTACTACTGTTTGCGTGTTTTAAAATTGCGAAATTAAATTAATTTCAATGATCAATGTTAAAAGCGCAAACAATACACTACGCACCGCGTACTTTAATTTACCTTGACATTCATTCGCCGCGCGACAAACATTTTGCATTAACTATTGTGCAAGCGATCTAATAACCAATAATCGGATCCTCAGCAAACGTTTGCCCATCAATAGGTTTATTTAACATCCGATATATAAACCTGTGCCGTTTCTGGGGCAGCATCATTCGGGTCAGTGTCTCCGAACAACTCGAGTTGCCTCAACTATGAAGGTACTTGTCGGATTTGTATTTGTAATTAGTACTGTGTCAGCCCTTGGTTCGGGGCCGTACCTGCCAAGTGGCTGGAGACCGTCTGGTCCAGCATTCTTGCTGCCTTCCGAGCTAAGGACAGGACTTAAGTCTGATGAAGGACCATCCGAACCAAAGAGTGTTGATGATTTAATAGCTTCAGTGTCATCGTCAGCGCAACCCGATAAACCTGAATCTGTTACATCAGAAACCGGCACATCTGAAGAAACTCTTGTATCTTCAGAACAAACGACCTTAAAACCCGAGGTAACTAAATCGGATTCTATATCTTCAGAACCAGAACAAGGTTCGTTAAGTCAAGAAAACGAAGCGTCCGGCTCCGATTTCCTTCGCGAGTATGGCCCGCCAGCTGTCCTGGACATCCACCAATCAATAACAGTGCAGGGTCTGCCTGATATAGTGACGGAACATACATTCAAAGTCGTCGACGCCAAAGTAACTGAAGACCAAGTTGTTATAATCAAGGGAAATGAAGAATCGATCAAAGAATCTGTCGTTGCAAGCAAGACTCCTGAAGACGTGTCAGCTCTAACAAACGCTGTGATTGAGACTAAATCAGTTCAAGAAGATGTCCCTGTCCAAACTCTTGCCACAGTAGAGCCAGAAATATGTCAAGATACCACCACTGAGACTGATTTCAAAGAAGCAACTTCTGAAGCTGTACCTCAAAAATTAGAAGAAGGCACGACTGGCACGACTCAGTCCCAAACAAGTATTGAAGAAACTACAAAAATAGACGATTCTTTATTAGTAAAATCAATTGATGCTGTAGCTAAAGTTACGGAGAGTGCCAGCCTGGAATACTTGCCTCCGGTATCCAACGAGGAATCGGTCCAAAACAGTAAGGAAACTGGTAAAGAAGATACTGCAGTTATTTTGGAAGTGCCATTGACTACATCAGAAAAGACTGAAGACAATGAAGCCGTTGGCAAAAACAATAATATTGAAGAAGGCAGTGGATTAGGAAAAATTCCTGATGTGTTGAACGAGCAAGAACGTGTTGGTTTCAGGGAATACGGGCCGCCAAAGTCTGAAGAAGAAAGAATTAAAAATAATGAAACGAGAAAAAGAAGATTTTCTTCAAGGTTCGCATCTTTTAAGAAACATTAATCGAATTGAATAAGTACCTAAACACCAAGTAAAAAACAAAACGATGTTACTAGTAACTATGTAACTAAATGTAAATACTCATTAAATCAGGAATTAAAAATGTTAAAATATTTTAATTTATTAATATACCTACTGCCTACCTAACCTTAATTAAGCTTTTGGACATAGGTAAGGTAGGCCTCTCTAATCTGTAACTCTGCATGATGTAAGTACGCGACAACTTCCTTTTGTCACGATTACTAGATACAATATCTCCACGTATCGTCCACTTTGCCCCCGGGCTCACAATCGCACCCGCATCACCCCGATCGCATCGGCCCCGATAGACATCTTGATGTGATGAGCACCGGTGATGAGTGTGGGGGTCGAACGCTCCCTTGTGCGCCGTATTACGCTACTAATTCATTACGATCGCGTCGTGTTAGCAGTTGTTTCATTCATATTGGTGGAGGCAGACGTAGGCCACAGGCCACACATAACAGAAATGTTTGTATGAAGGTATTAAGTATCTAGATGGAATGTAAATATATAAGATTTTTTGGAGCGTGTTTGTTAGTCTGATAGAGCAAAGAGACTGCTCTTTCTCTTTACTTTTTGAAAGAGTGAAATAATTATGCAAGCCATTAGGTGTTTGAAAAGGTAGCTAGGTATTAGGTGTACTTAGTTCCAATTAGATTAAGATATAATGGTACTAAAATTGAATAAAGCCACTAAATAAATCAAACATTGTCATCAAAGGTCTAGCTTCTGCCATAACTTTTGGCTGTTAATTATTGTTTTTATATGCAAACCGGGGCTGATTTTTATATTAACGGCTCATAACCCAGCTTTCGTTCCCACCTGGCTGTAGCCAAGATCTTTTTTTGACATTTTTAAAATCAAATTCGTTATTGCGCCATGTTGGTACAAAGGTGTATTACATCGAGTTAAAATGGCGCGATACGTCACGCTTGAGTAGAATTTTTACTCAAAAGTGACGTCACGCGACATTTCAACTCAATAACTAATATCACAGAATAATAATAAGTACTACGTACAGAAGTTTTACTTCGCGAAGGTATTTAAAAAAATATATGCTCAATGTCATTAACAATATGGTGTAGTTTAGCCTGTCTCAAGAGTCAAGCACCATTTTGTTGACAAACGTCAGTGATCGGCATTGCGCCGAAGCTATAGGGCCGACTTCGGTAAAATGATGTGACGTGAGGTGCCAAACTGCGGAAAATGGCGGAGGAAATACATGATTTAGCATGAATTATCATGAATAGGTAATATTAACTACTTATTTACCTCTCAGTGTCTTGAGGCAACTTAAAAAAGTAGGTACATTCTGTGTTTTTATTATTATTTAGGCAGTTAAATACTGCACAGTATTTAGTACACCATTTTCTTTATTTTCTTCCATCATGCACAAGAATACGCGTGGCTGAGTTCGCTCGTATGTGAGGCCTTGTTGAATAGTATCCTGTAGGTGGGCCATCGTGCGTGTTTTGTTTTCGATGTAAACTCGCGGAGATGAACAGGCCTGCTAATACTGTAATTATTCGATTATGGAAAAAAATAAAAAATATGAGTCTAATATTTTCTAATTATCTGTCTTACGGACTAAATAGAATTTTGATTTCATTACCCAGTCATCATCCCTATTCACGAAGGCGAGTGAGCTTTACATGTGTGCTGGTTGGTCGCTAATGTTCGATTTTCAAAAGTTTTGATAGACATTACTGACATTATGTGCATGTACACACACAAGTAAAGCTCACTCGCCTTCATGAGTTGCAAGAACTATAGGTAGGTAAGTAACTTCAATAAAATTAGAACCTCGAGTGACCAGTCTGGAGTCGTCACGTCACAGCGGGTTGGAGGCGGAGGGCGCGGAGAGTCATCGACGGCTTTGATCATCGGCCGCTCGCTTCTGCTTATTTGCCTATTAAAGGATTTGCGTAATTGAATTGACTCGCGCTTTGTCGGCGTCTTTGATGCGACTCGCGAGCGCGTCGAGGGTCTTGTTAGTGTTAGCTCGTCAAGCAGACTCGATGACTTTATGGTTAAAAATGACGAAAGTTATGGAGGATTATGGAGAAAAATCAGAATTTTTTGACTCCCGCTATAGGCCTACTTATTGGTAAGTAAATAAATACGTTATAATCATAAAACATATTGGAGGTCTAAAAAGCCAATTACATCATAAAAATAGTCATCTTGTAAAGTTTCATCAAAATTCGGCGAGTAATTTTTGCGTGAAAAAATTAGAAACATCACATCGCCCCATAATATTTTAAAATACTCGTGCACAACTTAGATTAATAATTTGAATGTCTTCTTTTTTATTGAAAAAAAAAAGATAGTAACAATGGGGGCGTTTGACCAAAAATAGCATTGTTAGCGCTATGTAAGAAAAATGCCGTTCTTTTAGCAGTAATTTCAGCCAAACGGCTCCATTGTAATTAAATGCTGTTGTGAAACGTTGTTAGACAAATACAATAAATAAAATAAAAAAAATACGTACAGTCGAACATACAACCTCCTCCTTTTTTTAAGTCGGTTAAAAATGAAATTAAAATGTAAGACATTCAATTCCTTTGCCAATAAAAATAATGTCTCACTCAATTGTCTGTGGTAATGGCGGTAATAAAGTTTCTCCTCATTTTTAAAAATGTCGGAAGGTAGATTACTTTAATTTTTTAATTCCTCATTGCGGGTCACTCACTCATTTTAATTTTAACGACCTCTGAAGTGGTCTGACTGAGTATTTTATTTTAGTGGTCTTTGTCAAAGTTCTATTCTATTTCAATTATTTTGTTAAAATGTTGTGGACAAAGTAAGGTGACAAAATATTGCTCTCTGTGTGTGTATTGTGAGAACATTGGCAAGTGAAGATATTCGGAGCCCCCAAGAACAGCGAAGAGTCACCATGTAAGGTAGTTAGTACATCATCAGTTCTTTTTATTTCTTCATTGTCTTTTAAGTTTCAATACGTGAAAAAAAAATCAGCTTTAGAACTTTTACTTTTTCTACCTTCCTACTAGGTAGAATAATTCATAGAGCTTAAAATTAAAATAACTATTAGAAGTCCCCCAATTGTTAGGAAAAATATTTGGAAAACTTGCTCTGAACCTTCTTTCTGATGCAAATGATCCAGGTGCTTTTCATTGTTTGCCTTTGATTATAATAAATTGCTGTAAGCACAGGTTTGGTGGAGCGCCCTCTGGCGGCGCTTCGCATAAATTAACGAGTTTTCGTCGCATAAATGCTGGTTTCCTTTGATCTTATGAAGTGAATTTGTTTATTCAGATTTGTTTGAGGGTTTTTGTGCTAACAGAAATTTATGTAAAAGCAGGTAGGTGAAAATGATCTATTCAATGTTGATTGTGATAAAAGTTACTGAACAAAAACTCAAATAAAAATCTCAATTATAAATCGATACCTACCTACATTTTGAGGTTTGTAGGCGGTAGGTACTTACACAAGTAGTGCATAAAGATTTTTGAGTGTCCCTATAAATTAATAAGTGGGCAGGCTATTTATTTAGGTGAACTCTTTAAAGTGATACCAACCTTCCTGTTGCCGATCACAGACACGAAATTGTTTGACATTTTGTCACAATATTGTTTGATGTGTGAATCGACGATCGAGTGATTGCTCAGTGGAAAAAAGGTGGAAATATTAAAAGTTGGTAAAAATATCTTTTGTAAAGATTGTGTTTATTTTTTGATGGTATTTCGCCAATCATTACGTTCTGTATGACGGACAACTTGAACGAGCAACTAAGTGGGTAAGAAAGAAAGAAGTAAATAGTAAATTAATATTTTTAATTCCTCTACCTGCAATTGATATTATAAATCATGAATCTTAGTCAATTGCGCATGCAATTTATCCCTGCATCCAATTTCCAATACAAACCGCTTCTGACATTCCCACAAAAGATTGCCGCCATTATTGCCAACACGCAAATCTAGCTGTCAACTGTCAACTTATGTTTTTTATAAAGGCAAAGGAATCACTGAACTAGACAGCCAACCCTCGGCGCGGCTTGGGGACGGAAGGGAAACAATCGATGAACCTCGAGGGCCGACATCCTGATTAATGTGTTTTTCATTTATTTGTAGGTATGCGGGCACGAGATTTATTGGATTGGAGGAGGTAAGTGCTTTATTGATTTTTTTTTGCGGAGTTACTTAATAATTTTATGCAATTTGTATTCGTTTGTATGTACATGATTTTTATTTGAATTCATTTTATGCATTCTTTTAACTTGTACTTGTAAGCAGGTGGTTATTATTTTATTGTATTGTAGGTAGTAGATTTTTAATCTTTAGGTAATTCTTCAAAAGTAGGTCTATTAAAATTTAGACGGGTACAGAATCTATCTACAGGTATAAAAGCCAAATTTTTTCCGATTCCAAATAGTGAAAGTTTCGTCTTACATCACAGATCACGAGACATGAGATCTGACTCAATAAGTATTTAGGAAGTAAAGGGAGCTCGCCCTCTTCTTCCAATTGTTTTAGTTCAGTCCTCGGGCTACAACAAATGATCTATCCCCTAACTCGAGCCCTACGTTTGGATTTTCGTGTTGTTATTGTGATCGCGCGGTACTTGTGGGTAGTTGCACTGTGCGGGTAGAAGCAGAAGCATATGCGCGCGATGCGTCTATTGTGCGCGTCGTTAAAACCTGACGCTCGATTACTCGCGAATCAGGGCTGCCACACCTGAAATGATAATAATGCATACGTATAAAAACTATACTTAAATGTTTTAAACATTATTAATGTGTCTTTGCTTGTCTGAATTTGAATTTCTACTTAGTTTACTTATCCTATCTACTCCTGTCCTGCCTCGCATATTTATTTACTTGCCTTTCTGAATCTGCAGACATTATGTTTTTATTATCTCTTACTCTACTTACTACCATAACGTGAATATTGTAAAAACTTAAGTAGGTAGATACTGAGCCTTCTTAACCTTATTACAATCTAACTCATACCTACTTATCTGAAAGCTTTTTCACACAGCTATACAGGGTGTTTGGTAAATGGGTATATGAGCCGACACTAGCCCATGTTAACATGGGC